GTAGTGTATTTAGTAAAATAAGCTACTTGATCATGGTGAAATGATTGACATGTCCTAATCAGACCCTCTTTTGTCAAAACTTTCCATGTTTCCAAAAAGTGATCTAGAAAGCTTGTGTATTGTTAGAAAAATATATAATAGAAAATGTGTAAGTTTATATTCTAATTACCTCTAACTTGATACCAATTTAAAATGCAATTGTGAATTTTCCCCCCAATTTGTGCAACAACAAAAATTGCTGTAAGGAACTTTCATATTAGAAACATGTAGTTTTTCTCTATAGTTTCATTACTTTTTCTCTGTCATCAAATATTCACTTGATTTTCTTCCTATTTTATGAAGAAATATGGAAAAGAAAAGAATACCATACCACTTCTTCCTCATTTTGCATTTGTAGCATTCTCAGAGGAAAAATTACATTGGGAATGTATGGCTGGATGCCTGGAATGTGATGTGCTATCAAATTTATTCTCTTTCCTTCAGACAGTCACTTTTTCTTCATACATTTGCCAAATTCAGGCTCTTGATTTTGACCACAGCAGTTGTGATAAATGTTTCAGACCTTAATGGCTTCTGTGAGTAGAAACCACACTCTGATTTTCAAACTTATGTTTAAGACAAATAGTTTGTAGCAGTACTTGTGCCATCATTGTTCCTCTGCTTCCTCCAGTTATGTCCACTTGATGTGTTTATAAAGAATGGTTAGCCATACACTCCTGAGATGAATTCTCCTGTATGTGATCTCTTTGATCTCTTGATCATGGGAACTAGAACTGCTTGTGGTTTTCAAGATGAAATCTCCTCAGTGCTTTAAGTAGTTTGTGGGGGTTTTACTACAGGGGAACTGGGCTTACATTGAAAGTTAAATACCTACTTAATTTACTTGTACTGATACTGTGCACAGTTGGAATGTCTTCAAGTTTTAATCCCTAATTTTATCCCTAATCCCTAGCAAACTAGAGGAAGTTGTTTAGTTGATTCTAGCCAATGAAACTAACAATTTATCATAGTACTCTGAACCAAGAAGCTGAAATATAACTAAGATCTGCTGCTTTTGGGAAAGGGAAGTTGTGTGTATGATAGTATTTTCTCCTTGAGTCTCATTCAGACTATTAAGTAGAATTCATCAGCAGTATTTTCATACACAGTTTATTTGGACGTTGCCAGTTTCTTTTGGAAATGAAATAGCAATAGTCTGAATGCTTTGATTCAAAATATACCAAACAAAGCAAATTACTACCTTGCTCTTCACCAGTCTTTCAAAAACTGTGAAAGAAAACAACTCATTTCTTGGAGTTTGCTTGCTGGTTATCTACACAGATAAGTAATCTAGCATTTCAAAATTTTCTGCACTCCAGGCCACAGAGCCAGAGACAGATCATGAAAGATACCTATAAGCTGGATGAGTTTGAGCTGATACTTACAAGTGGCATTTAAGAATGTACAAATCATTAAGCTAAGAATTTAGCTGTAATGGCATTTTTCAGGGTTTCTACGTATTTCCAAAAGAGTATCTTCTCCTTTTTGTTGTCAAAGGATATTCTGAATTTTAATGTTCACTGTCTTTACCTAGTTACAGATTATGGGTACTAACAAAGATGATCTTAATTCTTTGGATGAGGTGCAAGCAGATAATAACATGTTACTGCTCATTTAGACTTTGATTCAGAAAGCCTATGCTCACATTTGGTTAGCTGATGCTTGGTTGGGTGATACATTTGCACCTGTAAGTGCTCTAATATCAACAATGGAATTGAGCCTCAAACAGTAGAGATGCATCTTGTGCTCTTGAAGGTGGAGAAATTTTTCTTGACTTCTCACTAACTCTTTTTATAGCTGCACAGAAATTTGGAACAGAAGGGGTGTGACAGAATGGCTCCCCGCAGAACCCCACACTTCATAATTTATCAGGAACAGAAGCAATCACAACTAGCTGCAAGGTCTCTTGGGGAGAACAGAGCTGGTGTCAGTGAGATTCCTACTAGTGTTCTTAGTAATCTTTCATAGTTCAAAGTATTGCTGAGCTGAAATAATCTTTGTGGTGTTATCAAGAAATAAGGTCTTATCAAGAAATAATACAGCAGTGTGTCTTACGTCTTTAGTGAAACTAAAGCAGTGGTAACTGCAGCTGTATTCAAGTTAACTGTACTCAAGTTAACCCATTTCTGTGCATTAACCCTTTCATAGAATGGCTTGGGTTGGAAGGGACCTCCAGGATCATCTAGTGTCAATCTGCTTGCTGCAGGCACGGTTGCCAAATACTAAGATACTGGATCAGGCTGCCCACTGCCCCTTTCAAACTTGAACACCTCCAGGGGTGGAGCATGCACAACTTTTCTCAGTGGAAAATTTCCCCATGCTACTCTGGCTAACTTGGTGTTCCTTTATCTTATCATCTAAGATTAGGTATGAATTTTGTAGACCTACCTGACCTTAATGACTAAATCAACAGTTGTTGATTTTGCAAACTGATATGTTCCAGTAGTACTTTGTGTCTGCACTATATTTATGGGCATTCCTTCTGGTTTAGCATCCAAGAGCTGAATATGTAAGCTGATTGTGAGACATCCTTTTGGTAGTGAAGACTGTCTGATATTTCCAGAGGAATAGTCATTACATCACTCAGATTAAAGCTTTCTGCAAGCCTATGTACTCCAAACAATTTTCAGGAGGCAAAGTAGGAACTGTAATGCAAAACAAATCCCTTTGCTTCCCCTTCTCCACCAATTTCTTGAAGTAAGAATCTTCATGTTCTTTAAGGCAAATTTTTATTTTTATAGTCCATTGCCTTTGTACATCTGACTGTTAATTTCTCTGCGCTCATTTGAATCCTACTGCCAGTACCATTAAGTATTTGGGCAATCCTTTACCTCTCTACCAACAGAAAATTCCAAATAATTTTAAGTGAGCAGTGGCAGTTAGTTAAACTGCAAGGCCTGCTGTTTGAGTCAGTTCAATTGATATGACCTTCTTTGTATGCATACTTTTCGGGTATACAATGTTGTGCGTTTTTCTTTCTATAGGAAATTTAGATTAATGTGGAAATGTGAATGATTTGTATTGGAATCCTTCACTGTGAGTCAGTCATGCAGTGTAATCAGGATAGAAAAAGTCTAAAGAGGACAAAGGTTAAGTGCTAAAACTGAGTGTAGTGTGTTAGAACTTCAGTAAGAGTTAAGCAATCTTCACTGTAAATGTATCAAAGCCACCTACTAAAAATCGTTTTGGCATCACAGTCTTCCAAGAGTTCTGTACTTGTTGGGTCTGAAAATAAATATCATGTTGCATTTCACTGCTTGTTTGCAAGTACCATCAGTGATTCAGTTCCAGGCTAAAAGAAGGCTTGAAAATGGTATCTCTTCTAGCAGCCCAAAAATGTTGTAAGAAATCGGGGCTTTAAAAATATTCTGCCGCTGTTATGTAAATCCAAAGTGTCAGTCAAAGATTATTTATCAAAAAAAAATTTAAAAAAGAGATCATTTGCCTTAATTTTTAAAGCTCTTTCAGAAATTTTCAGATCATTTTCTGATAGCTGCAGAATAGAATGTGATTTAAACTTCATTCATTGCCAGATAACTGTTTCCATAGTATTTAAGTATTAAGTATTAAGGTTTTTTAATTTTTTTTTTAATTATTATTTTTTTTATCATATATGCTTTCTGTCAAAAACTGGCTTTGGTTAATAGCAGCAGAGTTCAGACAGTTTCTTCACATACTTTAGCATGAAGAATCGCTTACCATTAAGTTTTTCAAGCAGTGTAGAGTCTGGCTTCATTATGAATACAAGAGAACATTTTTATTGTCACTTCAGAGGTACAGGTAATTCAGTCCACCTGTTGAGCTGAGCTCAAATTCTATTTTGATTTTCTGTCACTGTTAAATTTTATTAAATATTCAGCTCATACGTTTTTGTCCTTCAGTGTTTCTTACTCACTGAAGTAAATTATAGTGGGCAGCATGTATGTAAAACACAGTTGAGACTGCTGAGTACACAGCAGGCTCTGTGGCTCTTATCTGTGGTAAGAATGGGGTATTCTTTGAAACAGTTCTGCATTTCTCTTTGTCATCTTTTTGTGCTGCTGCAGTACTGTAAAGAGACTGAGAGAGAGAAGAGTTATTAAAGTTCCCGATCCTCAGATTAATTTGAAACATAAACTGTCATAAACTGAGATGGAAAATACTGTTCCGGTTGGTGCTGTGTAGGTTGAAGTGGCCTGTTAATGTAGAGAGTCCTGTTTTTTCTGCAGTTGTGGGTTTTCTCATTGCTTTTTTCTGCTTTTGTTAGTTTGTAAGTGCTGTATGGAGTCGAGATGCCTAAATAAGTGCTACAGCTTCTACATACATTATTTTCATGCACATTACTACATTTAAAAAGCACATTGCTGAGCTTGGAAACCAAATATATAACAACTTCATTTCCTGTCCGTTGACTCCAGTGGGTCAACTGAAATGGATTTCTGTGGATGCCAAAACATATTCTACAGTGCAAAGCAATGCAGTGGGCAGCATTAAGAATGTTGTGTTGTCTGTAGAGAAGTGATAAATCACTGGATGAAAACAGACACATCTCCTTCTTGGAAACATATGAGGAAAGATCTAATAACTTTGTTTGCTTCAAAAAAATCTTACGAGGCCTATGCTTTGTATCTTTCCTCACGCAGAAGAGTGAATAAGACATAAGCAGACTTTAAACACGTTCTTAAACTGGTCTTCTTTAGTTTATAGTTTCAGGACCAAAAATCAATTACTACATTTTTAACCCAGAGCAAATGTTTACCAGAGAGATACTAAACACTTACAAATAGAGTAGCTTATAATGGAAGCACCAGCTCATCTTTAACTTTGGAAGAACATGCAGTGCCAATTTAATTAAAGCCACATTAAAATAGGACTGTTGTTTATATCGTGTTGATTCTCCACTTCCCTGAGAAGTCGTACTGCCATTTTGTGCCACATATTCATGTCTTGTACAAATTAATAGATCATTTTATTCTTCGCAGGAAATCTGAAGACTTTTATAGCAAATCCGTCAGTGTCAGAATGAACACAGGTACGCTGCTTATGTGAGATTTTTCTTTACTTGTATATGTTGTTCAGAAGGCAAAGAAAATCCCAGATTTATTTAAAAGTTCATGAGCAAAGTATGTCTTAGTTGGTATTGAATTTAGACAAAGCAAAGTATTTTAGTAGTATGTCTGTTTACGTGGATTTCTATTCCATATATGAAATTTACATACTTGGTTTTGTATGGATGGATATATATGGACATATAAAACATGCATGCATGTTTAGCTTTCTGTGCTTATGTTACTTCTTTCAGTTTTGTATACATATGCTTTTCTGCAAATGTATGTAGTGTTGGGACATAAAGGCTGTGGAAAATTGATGCTAAAGTATCACATTTTCCTATCATGCCTTAAAAATGTTTTGTTTCCATTCTTTATTGTCAGTAAATTAAAAGACATAAACACTATCTTGTATTGGCTGCGTTTGCATAATCAGATGAGAATAACTATTTTGTACTTAAAGATTTATGTTTTTTCTCAAGTTTCGTTGATAGATCTACTGACCACACAAATTCCTCAGCAGTATATATCTTTATGTTATGATCTGTAAAATAGTCCTGACTTGTTCCTGAATCATTTAAGTCAGTAGATAATTCTAATGGTTTTGCTAGAAGTGGGAGCAGCACTCCAGTAAGCAGACCAGTGAAATCCTCATGTCAGGTGTAAAATTTACAGCTGTAAACTGTAAATCACTTCTTTACCCTCTACAGGTAAACTGTCTGCTTTGCATATTAACTGTGGCACAGGAAAAGAAATACTCATTCTCTGCAGACCAATTACTTTTATTGTTGATCACAGCGCTGCACTGACAATTTAAATAAGGAAAATCTCATGCTTGGGACTAGAAGTCCTGAGCTGCCTGTGATGCCAGTGCAGATGTTTCATCTGCATGCTCTAAGTCCAAGGGATTAATGTTACCATGCTATAGTTTGCTGTTATTTCCTAGGCTCCTTTATTGAAGAGCTTCCTGGCTTCTGATTCTCTCAGGCAGTGATTGGAATTCATGAGGTTTTCATAATGATTTTTTTAAGACAAAGTTAAAATAATTGTGTAATACATTTTAATTTTGTCTTGTGATGAAACTGCTATATTTGCAACTATTTTAATTAGGAGAAGCAAAGTTTCTCAGCTGAGGTGGGGTATTTTTTGTTTGTTCTGAAATCTTTTGCAGACCTGAGGGTGATGGAGAGGGAGTAGCACCAAGTCTTGATAAGGATTTCATTTATGGAAATTTGTCTTACCATTTTGATTTTTTTTTTTTTAATGAGTTTTCCTTCCTAAACATGTCAGTCTGTATAATAAATGCAGTAGTGAAGTACTGCTTGCTACACAGAACTGTAATTTCAGAAGTAAGTCAGCTAAGCATCATCTGAGTGTGATTACACTGTACTCTGTAATCATATGGGTTAAAACATAATAGATGTCATTTTATAGCTTCTACTTTTGAAAAGCGTGGCTTGTGTCAGAGATGAAAATTACCAGTTTGTGTTACTGCAGCTCTGAAGGGTGGTTTTGTTCTGCGCTATACTAAAATTTCTCAAGTTAGTCTGAAACTCTGAAGAGGAACAGACATAAAGATTTTAATCAACTATATGTCTGAATGACATCTATTGGATCGACTCTTCTACCACATAGGATACTTGAACACCCACTTAAAGACCCAAGTATACTTGAAATCTTGCATAGTTTCTTAAAGATATCATGGCTGTAAGCTGGACTTTACTGTGCTCTTAAGTAGTGAAAACATTTTTCATCTTACGGATGTACACATTGCAAGCTGCACTAAAAGGAAGTATTGGCAAAAAAAACCACAGCATTTCATATCAGTTCTATTGATGTATGTTACTTCTTGACTGTAAGAAAAACTCCCGTGAGTAGGACATAGAAGTGAACTTCTTACACATCTGTTGGTGAAGCATTGCTCTACTAAGGAGGAGAGCGACTGAGACTGAGGATGTTTGGTACAGTCACCTGTCTTAGGGCATGAAAGGAATGCAGAAGTTCCTTAATTTTATTTTATTTTATTTTATTTTATTTTATTTTTTTTGCTATTTCACTGCTTTATAATAGAAATTTTTGTATGACAAAATTGGAGATTTTTGGTTACTGTGAATTTGCCACTATTTTGTTTCAAAGTGGGATTACCATTAATTACTCAATCAGATAAATTTTCTCTTCAGTTTAGTGAAAGTAGTTGTTCAAATGGCAAAGCAAACAGACCTGGTCTATGTGCAGCTTTAAAAAGCTGACGTACTACTTGGACTGGGCTGCTCTAACCCAGCATTCCCTGTGGCTGCAGGCTTGGCAGTCTGTCTCAGCAAACCCTGTAGAAGATATTTTTGTCTACAGAGAAAATGTTTTGAAGAGCTTTGGTTTTCATTACTCTACCATATATGGGAGGGATTTTTCAGTGCTTGATGTTGATTCTGTACCACACGTTAGGAAGAACTACTCAGCAGCTAAATGCAGTGAAATGTATTTGCAAACACAAGGGCGCAGACATTGGATATGGAGAAGGTTTCAGAAGTACTGAAGGCACCTTAATTTGTAGTTGATTTTGGTGTTCTAATTTTGCTGTAAGTTAATAAAAATAGTAGTCTAGCAGAATGTGTGCCTTTGTATTACCTTTTTAAACCCAGACTGTGAAGTCATCAACTGAATGACACTTTAAACTGTATAGAGGTATTTTCATCAACAAGCCTTTAAGTATTGCAGATTTGGTGACCATCGTTATCTTGGTGAGGCATTTTGAGAAACTAAGACCTGGAAAATGTAAGCCACTAATGAAGTTCACTTCAGATTGCAGCACAGGATAAAAATGCTTGTTGCTTATATCAGGTGTGCGTGTGTGAAGTTGTTGTTGGGGAGAGGAAACTTCACTGAGGGATTATGAATGAATGCAAGCTAATACATTAAAACAGATTCTTAGTGTCTCTCCAAAAATGTTTTGGCTGCGTTTCACACAGATAATGCTCAATAAATGCATCTAATTTTAAAGTTGTCTGTTTCAAATAAATGAGGCATATAAAGAGCAGTTGAGAGTGAAAACGTCTGCAGTTCTGAAAGCCCACAAAAATTTTGTGATTGTTAAAATTATTAATGCAAGTCATCACATAGACTAACATCTTAAATTCTCTGAGAGACAAAAATAGAAATTCTTGGGTCCTTGGAGAGTTCCTGAATAGACTGTTAGAAGCTATAAGCTAATAGAAGCTGCTTTGGGATCACTAAAACAAATATATAGCTTGATTGTTCAAATGTTCTCCTACATTTTAATTTTAAAATCATTATCTGCTGCAATTTAGCAGTATGAAAGAATCAAGTAATAGTAGATGCCCCTGAGTAGTCAGTGTTAGGTTCTGTGGTAGTAGCTCAGGTTCTGTGGTAGTAGCTCAGCTTAGCACCCACAGAGGAGTTCAGGCAGATGACAGCAGGAGGAGAAGCCCAAATAATTACTTGCCAGGCTACTCCCAGCCACTTTGCAGGAGCTGTCAGTGGTACATTTCCACAAACCTAGATGAGCAGGCAGGAAGTACCCCAGATTAAGGACTTCTGAGGAATAAGCACAGTGTCTGGGCCCCTCTTAAGCCTGTGCCAGGAGAGCCTCAGCACTGGGATCTAGGCTTGGAGCACATCAGTACAAACCACTGGGAGCAGCTCTTCAGATCAGGTTCTGAAGTAAGGAGGGGTTTGCTTTATGGGAATCATTATGGGGTGCAGGGGAAAAGGCAGCTGAGAATTGCACAGGACTTAAAATTCAGTTATTTGTAGGAAGAAACAAAAAGAAAACAAAAGGGAGGAAAGGGGAAGAATGGAGAAAAGGAGAAAGAATTTTCCAAAGCAAAAGAAACTGTATGGTGAACTAATTAAAGAGAGCATGCAGAGCAAAGCTGTGGAGTGTTCTGGTACGTATGCAAATATGCACGTACTACAAGCTGTAGGGCAAGCTGCTTGTCACTTCCTGTCAGTGTGGGGCTCTTTCTTTTTCTCTCTTCAGAGATAAACATGCAAAACTAATCATAGTATTCAGGAGTTCATTTACGTGTTTTTTTGCTCTAAAAGATACTAGCAGAAACATGCCTCACCAGATACCTCCTGCCACTGTTTTCTCCTCCTTTTCTGCAGTACCTGCTGAGGATGCTTGTTTGTCTTTTCCTGGTTTGATGTGAGTATGGAGGGCTTGCAAGAGAATATCAAGCACTGTTGGGCCTAATTTGAGCTGGACATTTTGAGCAGTGTTTTTGATTGCGAACAGTTGCCCAACTTCAAGTCTATTTCTGCTTGCAGAACTGATTCAGGTTGCTTATGGTTAAACATTAAATCAATCCCTAGGAGGCTATGGCTCTCAGACCAGAAGGATTTCTAATGTCAGAAGCTGACTGTATGCATATGTGCACACATTTTTTTATGTGTGTAAGCATTTTTTATTGATTTCATCTTCATTTATTCATTGAATAGCAACTTTGCAATATTAATTGCTAATATTTTGCAAATGAAGTGAGAAAATGATTGTTAATTCAGTCTCCTGCACTGTTTCAGAATTCTCTGTTCTCTGGACTTAGAGTGTTTTGGTGTTATTCAGACTTCAGTAATCAGTGTAAATAAAGTTAGCATTTGCTGGAAATTATGTGGAGTTATGAAAGAGGAGTACAGGCTGAAATAAGCTTCTCAAAGTTCAGCTGTATAAGGCCATGTAGATCTGGATCTTTTTGCAGTACCACACAGATTCTTCTGATCTTCATCCAGATGCCCTTGACTTATGGGAGCTTGGCCTGGACAAAGATAGGAAGAAGGAATCCATAAGGCACAAATATGTATTTGTCCATAATCGTTCATGTTTGATCACATATGTTGCACAACTGAAGGCAGTGCATTTGTGTGGTTGTATCTCACCTGAGTGCAAAGCAACTCCCTGCCATTATTGTGTACATGTACTGAGAATGTTATAGCAGGTACAGATTTGGAGGGGTGGCTTCTATATAGAGTGGTAAATGGTGTATGAATATGCATATAGTCTATTGCAAAGCCTCTTTTATCTCTCCTGTGTGAAGCTGTCAAATCTTTTGCTAGATAATGTGTCTACTAATACAAAATTGGCACTCTGTTCAGTTACATTAGAAATGAATTTGAAGCAGAATTCGTAGAAGTTATATTGATTAAATATTTGTAGTTGGTCTCCTCCTCCTTTTCTCCTGCGTTAGCTTTTCTATGCTGAAAATCAAAAAGGTAGCTCTTGAAAAATGCAAATAAAGCATTAGTTTGAATTAAAAAGAAAAAGCGGCAGCTTGTATTAATGACATAAATGTGTTGCTGAAGTCTGCCCATATTCAGATAAAAACAAAAATTCAGTATCAGCAAATTGTCAAGTCTCCCTGGAATTATTTCCACTTTATGTCAGTAGGAAGAATGATACAAGAACAGAAAATGTGATTTTTGTTACCATTGCTATGCTATGTTTATGTAAGCAAATTAAAATAAATTGATAACCAATTTCTGTTTCCCAAGTCTAGTACCAATAATTAATATCAGTTAATGTAATGCATTAGGTTGTTGCTGACTAAAATTGTCTGAAATCATCTGGCCCTTTGCCTCCAGACTTGGAGCTGGCAGAGGCTCTTTAGAACCCCTGACACCTGGGGCAGTGACTCAGATGTTTGTCTGCATTAACAACTGCTTAATGTGTATCCTTGCTATTTTGGGGGAATGCTGGAATGAGCAAGGAAATACCTGCAGCTCACTTCTCTGGGAAATTGGTTTAAGATGTCTTCTCTGTAGCTCAAATTACCGTTACAGGAAATCCTTTCCACTAATAGGTTGTAGGCCTCCCTTAAATATAATTTTATATAACTCCCTCTTACAGGACACATGCAAAAATCATAGGGCCTCTATCAAAGTTGTAGTTTGTCAGAAGTGGTGGCCTACATGAAACTTCAGTATTGTAAAATACAAAAATTAAAATAATGATTATGTTGAAGTGCAGAAAAATAGTCTGGATAAATAATCGAGAAGGATATTTACTAACCTTTGATAATTATGAAAGAGTTTCTAAGAAAGCACGTTGTAGGAAAGCCTCCTCCTTATAAAACGAAGTTCTGCTAAAGACAGAATGACAGCCCCAAGTGAGGGAGGAAAGAAAAAAAGGAGAGCCAGTTCCAGAAGAAAGGTTTTTCGTACTGCTAGTTGTTCAGACATATTTTAGATTTATATTTCAAGTCTTTCCCTTGAAGTATAGTTTGGTTCCAGACATGCATGTGTTTATCTTCCATTAAATTTAAAACAAACAAACAAACAAAAAAAAAAGAAAAAAAAGGGACTTCTCTCCGAATCAAAGTAATACATGCCATCCTTAATTAGTTTGTTTCTTGTGTTTAGAGTGTCTGAAGGGCCATACAGAAGTACTTTGTCAGCTAATCTACATAGGCTTAGTTTGATGAATGGTGTCTTTCTAATGCATACAATGAAATTATTTTACAGTGCAGATTATTGATTAATATTACTCTGGAATGCTTAATCCTTTATCTTGATTACTTGTTTGTTTTTTCAGTTATTGGGTATAATTAAGCAGTTTTCTAGGCAACTGGACATGTGTATTTCCATAGTGAATTTAGTATTAGGTACTTGCTTTCTTATTTTGTATGAGGTTTATTGTTTCTTAAAGCTTGTGAAAGTTTATGTATTCTGCTAATCTGTGGAACTCATGAATTTACGTGTACCTGCAGCATTTCTCTAATTGCATGTTTATTTTCTTGTATGTTTGGCGTATCTCACACTGTGATGTGTTGCATGTGCTTGCTTCCTTTGTCTGGGGCTGGTGTCTGTATTATTTTGTGCTTCCAGATAGCGGTGGTTGTGCTCGCAAACGTGCTGCAATGTCTGTCACATTAACATCTGTGAAGAGGGTTCAGAGCTCTCCAAACCTACTGGCTTCAGGTATAACAACTAACAGTAAGATATTGCTCATGAATGGCATTCTGTAGCATTACATTTGTCTACAGTATTACTCTGCAATGAGGGGAATGGTAACCATATTTTCTATTCTACTGACAGGTATTTTCCTTAGTTCTACAGTTCTCTTTAGAAAGTAGTTTTTATTTTTTTCTGCCTGTATTCTTTAGTCATTGATGGAAAAAAAAAAAAATAGAAACACTTAGGAAGAAGCTTTTTTTTTTTTTTTTTTTTTTTTTTCCCTGTAAAATTAACTTTGCCTTTGGTACATAACACAGATTTTGGGTCTCATGTCCCCCATTGTTTTACAAAATAATACAGCATGAAGAGAGGATGTTTATTACAACTGGCTTTAGAACTGCTCCTAAAAGAATCTGTGTGCAATGGTACAATGATCATCAGAAGCCAGAATAATTTTAAAACATTTATGAAATGTTTTCCTAAAAATGTGTGGAACAATAAAACCATAGAAAGCATTCAGTAGGGAGAGCTGCTGCTTAGCATTCTTCTGTCTGATTTCACAAGATGAAATCTTAATGGGTGTCAGCTGTCCAGATTCAAACATGAATTAAGTAGTTGTAAGTATAAATCCGTAAAGAATCTCAAGTGTTGTAGGCTAATTTATACCAATATAAACATTAAGTGTTCACAGTGAATATAATACATGAAGTTCAATGAGCATAAATTTCAGAAAGCCAGAAAATAGTTGTGATGTAACTTCTTTGTTTTGTATGTTTTTTGTAATGTAAGACTAATCCCAGGAATAAGAACTCTGTTTGATTTTCTGAAACAAATTAAAAATTTGGATACTGCTCTTTGTAATAAGGGTAGCAGAACAGTCATAGAAATTAATGCTTGTGTAATAACTCAAGAAAGCATTATGTTTCTATTTCTTAGCAGTCTTTCTATGAATTTTTTATTTCAGCATGTACAAGCCTTGTAATGTGTTGTGCTATGGCACTCAAAACTGGTGACGAGTGCTCTTAGTTCTGTAGTCCTACTGGTGCTAGATTATCATACATAAAAATTATTTTCAATTTGTTTGGAGAGGTAAAAACATTAGTTTGTTTAGAAGGGAAAAAACACTCTAAGTATTGAGATATATTATATCTCTAAGTAATCCAAGAAAACACCAGAATTTCTGATCTACCCTGTGCTGGCAGTATGTATGTGTCCATTAGTGATTTGGTTTGAAGTGGTGAAGAAAGTTTCACGCATTCTGGTGGGGAGTGAAAAAACAAAAAAATCCTGATAACGTGTAGACATCTTTCTTGGTTTTGAATTAAAACTTTTCAGCTGATCTTAAAAGAATGTATTTCTTCTGATATCAAGATTTTAAATGGTAGTAGACCTCAGTATGTATTGAAAGAAAAAAAAAAAGATAGCAAATATGTATCGTTGGCTGTCTGAAATAGCAGTAATTAATTAACAACTTTTAGCACACTGTAGAACTTCTACAGTAAACATTAATTATACATAGTATACTATTTTGAGACATAATTAAGGAAGAGATTCAGGTAACTGGGCAAAAGAATAGCTGCATATTTTACAGAGTTTCTAAACTGTGTCATGAGGAAAAAAAAAAAATTGCTAGAGAGGTTTTATTCCTAATTTTCAAAACTAGCTTTTTAGAGACTTTCAAATACTTCTTAAATATTTCTTAAATTTATCTTATATTGATTCTCAAATATTTCTTAAGCAAGATTTGTTTATACAATTGCAAAAACTCCCATACTCCTGGAAGACACTTGGCCTTAATAGAAAGGAAACAAGGTGATGATCTGTTTATAAGAATGCATCTATATAGACAGCTGGAGCTGTGAAGCGAGGGATGGGGAGGGGGACCATAGCTATGTTTTTCCCATAGGCAGCATCAGAAAGGCTCACATATGCTAGTTGCTTTCATAGGCAGATTCTTTTGCTAACTGCATCTATTGCAGGCAGTAAAAATTAATATATAGATACATAATTCTCAGTAAGATCCTTAAAATAAAACCTTGTATTCATAATGATTTTTTACTGATTGTATCAGCAGCTTAATTATTTAAATAAATTGGTGTAGGAGTATGGACCAGATGTTTTGCTGTTTTTCTGATCTGATCTCAAAAACAAGATCACTATGATGCCATTTAATTCGATACTTTTATCTGCAGAGACATGGCAACAGACCAATTAATAGAAGCATACATATATCTCTTGGCATCATTGAATACTGAGTCACTGTGTTGTTTGGGTTTTGTTTTTTTTTTTTTTAACATAACTTACAAAATTAAATCTGTGAGCTTAGCTGCACGTTAAGACACTCCAAGCATTTATAACACAAACTAATATTTGTTCTTTCTTGATTTTAGGATCTGATTCTCAGTCTCCAGATTCAGGTAAATAAAACAGCAATATTTATGAATCATTGTAATATCTTGTTAACAGGATAAAATGTAACAATTTTCCTTCCTTTGATTTCACCACTTCATATATATAGAATCGTTAAGGAAAGTAGCATTGAATTTGTAATAATAATGGTTGGTTAAGACCTCAAATTAAGGTCTCACTTGGGAAGCAGTATTTCCTATAACAGTGTGTGTTGTCAGAAAATGAGTTGCATGGGAGCACACAGACTGCTAATTTGTCACCTTCAGCTTCAGTGGGACTTGTTATATCATTTTTAGTCTCTTACTTAGGATTACAAGTTCCACCCACCCCACTTAGCAGCCTACTCACACAATGTGTTTCTTATCCCAGGCTCTTTCTTCAATATTTTGTCTTCAAATCAGTAACCTGTTGAGGTAGTGTAGTATCTTCCATGTATTTGGACAGTGTCCTTTTGGATGTTTAGCTCTTATAATAAAGACAAACTATGCTTTGGAAAACTGAGATGGTGTTCAGATTTGAAAAGATTGGAGCAAATGATCAGGTAGTGACTTTTTTGAGCTGGGATGTTTTTTGAAATCTAGCTGTGAAGATCAAGAACCTAACCTGAAAGAATATTTCAGTCTGCTTTATACTAGGGATAAACCACCAGGATCTCAAAAGGACTCCTAAGCTGAACATCTACAGTATATAAGAACGTTGTAGGGAGCTAACAAACTGCCACGAACAGTACTGATATAAATAAGATACAAATATTTGCAAAGTTACAGCTTTAGCTCTATTCTTAAAACGTCCATGGAAATATCAGCAGTAGTTCTAGTTGTGTAATAGAGAAATATTTCTGTATTTGCATACAGTTTGTTTGTTGTAATGACTGCAATATCTGGATCTAGTAATCATCAAAAAAATGTGATTTTTTTTCCTCTCAAAAGCTTGGAGAGCTTACAATGATGGAAGCAGAGAGACACTGAATGGAGACATTAGCAGTTCATCTCTTACAGCAAAAGGTTTTAGAAGTGTGCGGCCAAACCTACAGGACAAAAAATCACCAACTCAGGTAAAACTGAGCATACCAGATTTCATTCTTTAGCATTCGTGTGTGTGTTATTCTGGACACCATATACAGATGGGATATCCCTATGGGGAAGTTTTTTCTTCCAGATAGTGTGAATCACAGTTTTCTAGGAGTATTCCCAAACTTCAAATAATACTTATTACAATTTTACACTAAAATAAATAGTACACTGGTTATCAAAATATTGGAGGATAAAGGTTTTTTAATTATAAGATAGTATTTCTGCTTTTTTGTTTTGCTGAACAATGTGATTAGAAGGCACTTAATGTGCAAACACATTAATTTGTTCAAAAAAGAACCAACAGACCAGTGTCAGATCTGTTTCTGTAACTATTTAATTCAGAGCTTTAGGAGGTGTGTGGTGTTTATGTGCATTACCTGTGAATAATAGGTTGTAATCTAAAATCATATAGTTCATTTTGGAGAATATCATGAAGGATTCCACAGTTTTAATTTTTTTTTTCACTGTAATAATTGTGATTTTTAAAGAAAAGAAAGACTCTTTCCTGGGGTCTGATTCCAGTTCACTCTGAGCAAATGGAACATCTAGTTTTCTAAATACAAATTGTTCAGCCCCCTACAGCAAAAGACGGTGGGAACCTGAGTTGTTCTGTTTTCCATAGTATTAACAATCTTGAGTAAAAACCTAAGGTCTTAGTTTCTTTATTTAAAGATTGAATTCTAACTACAATATATCTCCTGCTAACATTTACTTTCTTTCTGTTTCTTCTTCAATGTTATTTTGCTGTGTGTGGATGATTTTGGCAAATAAGGCACCTCTGCCACCTCCTAGAAAAGAAAGCTTTCAGAAAGCAAGAGTAACTAATCACAAGAATGCAATTAATCTCCAGACAGTAACAACTGAGCCAGCTAAACACCCTCCTACAGATACTGGCTATTACACTAACGAGAAGTCTGCCCAGAAGATATTATCTTCTCAGATATCTAACACGAATGTGTCCTATGTACAAACAATCACTAGACCGCTGGCCGCTATCTCCAGTGCAGGCACAAGCGCAGTAGCTGGTATTAGTGCCACTCTCCATCAAGGCCAAACGCAGCAGTCTCAAAAGCGGAGGGTATCTACCCTTAAATTAACCCGGACACAAGACCCAGCAAGTGGTGTTCACTGTAATATACAGCAACAGCTCAAGCCTGTTGAAGTGCCAATATTTTCACAAAGGCCTGTCTCACCTGCCTGTAACCCCATGTCTGAGATACACACAGCATCTCTTTCCATTCAGATAGCTCCCATCCCTGACAATAATGCAGAGCCTGAAATCCAAGAACATCCACCTAGTGTTTCTCCAGACACTTCAAAGATGTCTTCAAAGGATGTGGGACAAAAGTCTACAGTTCTTCCTTCTTCACAGGCTGCAGAATGCCGTGTGGTATATTTAATTTTTCCATATTTTATTTTAGATAATTCATGAATCACTTAACTCTCTTTAGTTATACTTACATTATCAAAGTTAGACCTTCTGTTTTCTGGGTAAAACTACCTGTCACATGAATCAAACTAGAACTGAGCAAAACGTAGTTTTTGGGAAGTATATTGTACCCAAAAAATAAGAAAAAGAAAAGGCAACTGAGCTGGAAAGTAGACTTCCTTGTTCCTCTGTGAGAACTTTATGGAGTGCAAATGCACAATAGGAAATTAGTGAATGGTAGGTTGAGAGGTTGCGTCATTAAAACACTCTGTTGACACAGTTGCTGTGGAAGGATAGCATATGGGTAGGAAATGGTTGTTGTTTTTTTCTGCAAATGCAACTCTGGCAGTTTCCTAGAGCCACCAAATAGTTTTCTAAATGTTTTCAGCAGGGCAATCCTTGCTGTCTTCTTAGTGTCCTGTGTGATTGCTAAAGTCTTTTAAGTCAACCACCTCTACAAACAAGGCAAGGCATTTCTAAATCCTTCTGTTTCCTGCAAACCCTGTGCCTATTGAGATGAAAATTCTGTACTGATCTCATTCAGGAGAAATGTGGGTATCAAGAACGTAATATAGCCAGCAGTCTCACAGAAGCAACTCTATCTTGTGTATGAAGAGATGCTATCAAGCATCGTAGTAAGTAATAATAGGAGGATCACTTTTCATGTACATGTCAAATAATCTTTTTTTTCTTAAATCACCTGTGGGAGTGATTTCTCTTGTGAACGTATTTTACTATGCATCAGTGATATAAATTATGGCAAGCAGCCTGTGTGGTTCTTGTATATTATTATTTGTTACCTTAAAGACACAAGTTTTTAAAACATCTCTAGTAATCCTGGTATTTACTGGGAAAAATATATATATATTCAAAAATCTTAATCAAATCTGCAGCATTTGACAGACAGCACTTTTCCTTATTTCTTGGTTACAGTCCTCTTAGAGTAGCTAGATCAGATGCATACTAGGGAGGGGAAGGGATGTTAGCATTTTTTGATGAACAGTAATAAAACATGTTCAAGGATTAAAAAATAAGTTCCCATGATTGTTGGTTGCAGTGGATAAGAGTCATACTAGGCTGCTGAGGAACTACGGCCTATACTGAAAGATTGCCATGTGGTTCAGGGGGCAGATAGCTAGGTCTTAGAAAAGATGGAAAAAGCTTCCTAGGGACTAGAAGAGTTAGCAGGGTTTATTACCATTCTGAAAGTTAATTAATCAGGTAAAATAGGTCTGGAAGGCATAATACAAAAGAAATATGTACTTGCAAAAAAAAAAAAAATCTACGGATAAACTTTCTTCTCTGCATTACCTAGTCACATTAAGAATTTTCTTTTTTAGAAGTTAATTACCAGTGTACTAGATTATCTGAGTTTGAAAACCCTTCAGATAGTTGGTAGGGATTGCTGTAGGTTTAAGCGTATCTGCTTCACAGCTTAGTCTAAGCCAGGATCCCATCACAGCATATTTGTGTTTGTCAAGTTTTGCCAACATCAGTGTGTCTACTTTGAAGTAAAATGACACAATCATGCAAACTTGAAGCCCACTGACAGCATTGTGTCAACAAAGTAATATATCTTGTTCTTTGAAAGCATCATGCTTAATCAGGTCTTTACTGTGGAAGCCAAAATTTTCTGCGTTAGCTGTAGAATAGTTGAACAATTTGTAATGTGTCAGTTTTCTTCAAGTTGAAGTGGGAATTTTGATCTGAGCAAAGCTCTGAAATTATTGGTCAACAATTTGCAGTGCTGTTTTTGAATTAACCATTCCATCAACCACTGGAATCACATAAGACTTGCAGTGAAATTTGTCCTTCTTGAGATTAGAGCTAAAACTATTGTCAAAACTATTCTATTGAAATATGCATTATTTAGAGTACTTAAGGAAAAACAGGTTGCTTTGTCCTTGAAAAGAGCCAGTTCACTATTTAGTGTTTCCTGTTCAAGACTCACAATAAAGAAATCATGTCAGAAAGAGCAAGGCTGAGCACGATATTTTCATGGTAGCTGGGTTAGGCCCAAAAATCATAGGACAGAGACTTGCAAGCCTTTGAAAACACAAGCATTGAGAGAAGCTATCAGACTGTGGAACTGATGTGGGTGTAGCCAGTGTAACTTGAGCATTTGTATGTTTTCTTTTCACTTAAAAATAGTTGTTTGTCCTGTTTACAATGTGGTGCTTTGCATATTCTCAAATAAATCACCTTCTCTCAAACAAAAGTGGTATTACAACAGCTAACGCTTATTAAGAAAAATATCTTTTTTAACATCCAAAGTAATACTCAAATGATCCAAATGACCATAAATAAGTTATCTTTTAGCTTTTTTATTAGAATTTTAGAAGTCAAAATACAATTTGCAGTTCTTTTTATTTTAGAACTTATTTTTGTTTTACAATGGGCTGACAAATGTCAAAAATAGTTGTGACTTATTTGACAATTCTACACTTATTTTCCTGTATTCTCAGTGTGTGGGAAGAACAATCAGAAATTTGTCAACTGGGGTTTTTTGAATAAAATAACAAAAAATTGAGCAGATCATAGAGATCATCAAGAAATATAGCCTTCCAAGGTGTATCCGTTTATTCTTTGCTTGCCTGCAGAATTCAGCTGACATCATTCCTGATGTTCAAAATTGAGATAAATTCTAAACATTACTATGTTTATATACCATATCAGGATCCAAACATGGAGCCAGTGGGTTATTGCAATGGAAGTGGAGAAATGCTGTGCATGTGTCGGTACCTATGTGTGTATAGCACGTGTACATTCTATATGATAGCACCAAAATACGCAAAGATTCAGCCAGCTGTAAAAATGAGAGAGCCTATATGGCTCAACAAGTTCATGGAATTTTTCATTATTCTTTCACTATTCTTTAATTTCTCTTGTTATGTCTGTTCTTCTGTTTGCATTTCCTTTCATCTACTGAAACTCCAGGAGCAAGCAGAAGTGTGGTATGACTCACTAAGCGACATTTTACAAACACTCCTACTCAGAGAGGGGTTAAACCCCTTGAAAGCATGTGTGAAAAGAGGAGCATTCAAATTGCTTGGTATTGTTGTGGGTTGTGTTTTTGTTGTTGTTGGTTTTTTTTAATATTACTTAAAACCTTGTGAGATCCTGCCACTTTGTGCTATACTGCAAATGTGAGAGAAATATCCCAATCTCTTTCAACAGAGAAATCAGTGCTTGTTAGTATGAGACAGCATAAGTTTCATTATCCACATTTCTAATAAGCGAAGATTTTAAACTGATGAAGAACTCTGAGCTGCTTCTTCTGGCATAAACACCTAATGTTTTTAATCTTCATTTTGTGCCCACGTTCATGAGTGCTATCTTGCTCTACATACCTCTCTCTAAAACTGAAGATGCAAAACATGTTCTGTTTTCTTGAATTCCACAGATGACTGAAGTCTTAGTTTAGCACTTACGTTGTGGATAAGTAAAGGCTAAATGTTTATGAATGTATTTATTTGGCCAGCCCCATAACTGTAGATAAATGAATCTATGAAAATAAACTTGTAATTCACTGTTTTTACTGAAAAGCTGTAT